CCCGGCCGAGGGCTGTGTCGTCGCCCCGCGCCGGCGGGCCGGCAAACTGAGCCTCGGACAGCAAGGTCAAGGCGGCCGGGCGGCTTCCCCGGGGCTCGGCCTGGTCCCCGAGTGCGGCGGAGTCGCGCTGCCTCCGGAGCGAGGCCAGCCTCTGGGGCGCGCGGCTCGTGCCCCGCTTCATTTTCCGGAGCCGCTGTCCGGAAACCGAGGGCAGATCCTCCTAGGACTCCTTTGGAGGCCGCGGATGAGGAAGGAGCCCTAGGCCGGGGTCGAAGGGGTGCCCTCCTGGCAGCCTCGGTGTTCAAGCCAAGCTTTCACCCAGTCTCCCCGCGGGGTAAAAAATAATGCGAAAGAGGCCGTCTGGCACATACACGTCTGCGGGACATTTCCTTTCCTGCTGACTAGGCTGCATTGGAGATCTGGCGTGAAGGGCGGAAAGGCTTCCAAGGTCAGGTCGTAGTGTGCATCAGTTAGCGCTCAGCTGCGGGGTCCGGGCCCTCAGCCCTGCCAAAGAATCCCTGGTTCCGTCGCTCAGGTTTGCTGGTGGTCAAAACCAGCCAAGTGTAGCTGTCTTAAGAAATCGGACCTGTGCGCCTGGTCAGCTGGTCCGTGTACACAGCGTCTTAGTAACTTTATTTTTGTTTTTTGAACGCTCACTTTGGTGCTACCCTGATCACTGAGCACTGCCTATTACATTAACTCATTGGAGTATCACAGTATCCATTATTTCTACGAACCTTGTTTTATAATTGAGGAAACTGAGGAGTCATAGATTAAGTATCTCCAAAGTCACAGCGCTGGAAAGTGCAGGGGTTGCAGTTCTGCCCTGGGCAGCATGGCACAGTAGCTTCGGCTTTTGACTTCTGCTGTGCCTCAATTTACCACACCCGAGACTACAGAGCTGCTAGTTCTGGCACTGTGTCCTTGAGCACCCCGCATGCGTGACCTTCAAATGTGCTACTCACTATTTACTATGGGTTTGTTTGGGGGGGGGGGTTGGTTCTTTTGTGTTTTAAGACAGGGTCTCACTGTGTAGTTCAGCCTGGCCTTGAACTCACGAGGTAGCCCAGGCTGGCTTGGAACTCACTGCCTCAGCCTCCCGAATGCTGGTATTACAGGTGTGCACCACCACACCTGGCATTCACTATTTACTGTGAAAGAGTGTTGGGGAATTTTAGATTCTGTAATCCCAGCACTTGGGGAGGCTGAGGCAGGAGGATCACTGAGAGTTCAAGGCCAGCCTGAACTGCACCATGAGACCCTGTCTCAGAAAGACCAAAATATAGATAGATAGATAGATAGATAGATAGATCGATCGATCTATCTTGTTAAACTGTTAGGAGGCACCTGGGGTTCTTGTTCTCAATTTGTTTATGAATCGATGCCAAAGCTTTGAGTAAATCACCTCTTTGGACTTCAGTCGCTTTCTCATTAAGTGAAGCTCTCTGGCTAGCTATTTACAGGTTTTTTGCTTGTTTGTTTTCTTCCTTCCCTAGTTTGGGAAGCGCAGTGGTAAATGAAGCCAGTCTTCCCGCCTCTCTTGCTGCTCATTCGCACTTGTCTGGGTTATCAGTAATTGGGCAGCCATTTGCTTGTTTTCCGGGCTCACTGAGCCATAGCTGCAGGTGATCAGAAAGACGTTTCTGAAAGACCTAATGTAAAACTGCTGGAGTTTAGGGTCTGTCCTTATTGAACTGATGGATGGGAGCCAAAAAAACACTTTAATTTTTTTTTCTCCCAGTGAGCAGAGGCACTTCCCGTATTTATAACTGTAGGAGGTGAAATCCTTATGAAACAGGCCTCTGTTGCCTTTGTGGACAGACTCGGCGCTAAATGCCGGCACCAGGAGTGGTGCGCTGATTTTCTGTCTTAGGATATCCCCGCGAGACAGGCTCTGAAGGTGATGGTGATGCTTGGTAGGTTCTTTTTTTCACCCCAAAAAGTCAAACCTGAACACAAAACAGCATAATTATGTTAGAGAAAAAGAAGTAATCTCCATTCTTACATGTGTGGTCAAGAGAATAACTCCTGTTTGTGTGTTTGCCATCAGTCCTAGGGCATGATGCTGTTTAAGCGTAGCCATAGCAACCAAGGCTCTCCTCGCCAGGACTTCACAGCTCCTTCGAAGCTTCTCTTCAAGATGTTCAGTGTGCTGTGGAGTTTAGAGACTTTTCCTGGAAATCTCAAATGGAAGCAACCCAAAATAACCCATGGAATTATGTTTAAAATTTACAAGATAATAGTCATATAGTTGACCAAATACAGAAATGTCAAACATCACCTTTTAAAAGTCTCCCCAGGTTTTTTTTGTTGTTGTTGATTTGTTTGGTTTTGTTGAGATAAATCCTTGCTTTGTAGCTCAGACTGGCTTTGAAGTCACTACATAGCCTGGGCTGGCCTCGAAGTCACTGTGATCCTCCTGCCTCAGCCTTCTGGGTGCTGGCCTCACAGGTGTGCATCACCGCACCTGGCTTCCCTGGGTTTTAAACTTTATAATGTCATCTTAACTTCGTATTCCTGAGAGTGAAGAAGGCAGCGAGACAGGACCACCAAATTCTGCTATAAATGGGACTCGTGATCTTTCACAAGTCCTTTGTCTATGTTCTAGATTTCCTATTTACAGAGTGGAGCCATCACCTGCTGGGCTCACATGGTAGGGGGGGACATTTATCATTTACTGAGCACGCCAGCACCAGATGGCTTTCTGGTTCAGAATTGTTAGATACATGATCAGAGCCCTAAAATCTTGCCTGAGATTTCAGGAGAGGGGTAGTGCTGAGGATTTAACCCAAGGCCTTTACACTGAGCTATATCTCCAGCCTTTTTTATTATTTTATTCTGAAACAGGGTCTCACTAAATTGCCTAAGCCTTGCTTGAATTAGTTCTCTTGCCTCAGCCTCCTAGACTGCTGGGAGTACACGCGTGAGCCAGACAGCCCAGTTTCATCTGAGACATCTAGGATGATTTTCCAAACTTTATTTGGGGAATTGATTCATTAGAGTAGATCAGAGTAAGATTGTCTTTTAAGTTTTTTTAATAGAAATTTTCATTGACACATTTTAAACCTAATTCATTCCTAGACAATGGAATCTGACCTCTTGAAGGAATCTTTGTAGCACATCGAGTCATACTTGTAGCCTGTTTGCGATCTCTGGTCCCAGTTTAGCCTTGAGAAACCAGCCTCCTTTCCACGTTTAAAACAGTTCTTTTAAAAAACACAGATGTTAAGTAAAAACTTCTTTCCCAGGAACCCACATATGGAGTTAGTGTTCTGTGATTTTCGTCCTGCTCAATGGCCAGGAGACTAAAAGCACAGAGGTGCCACCTGCCAACGAAACACTTTTCCCTGAAGCCCTGTGCGTTCCTTTCCTGGCTCAGGGCAGACTGTTCTTTCCACAGTTTTTCGTTGGCTGGGTTTCCCTGGCAGCAGGTTGCAGCCAGCGTGAGGCGCCTGTGGGAAGAGAGCCCTAGACAGGAGAGGAAGGTTGGCTGGTTGCTCCCAGGCTTGACCTGGGCTCGGAGTCACCTGCAGAGACGGAGGCAGCAGGCTACACCAAGTCAGCTCGGCCTCATGCAGGCACTGGGTTGTAGGAGTCGTCTGAGCTGCGTGTGCCGGGGTCCCTGGGGTTGAGGGGCGTCCTTGGGGTTGAGGGGGCTGCGAGTGCTCAGGTCCTGGGTGTGAGGTGGCATGCGTGTTCACCCATTGCCTCTCTGACCTCATGATGGCTGGCATTTGGTCTTTGTGAGGACATGTTCCATCTTGTTCAAGGTTTAAACAGTGACCCTCGTTAAATGTGTGCCCTGGTCGTGTCGCATTAAGCCTGGCTGTCCCCAGCCAGAAGTGATCCAGATGACCACATTCCTTAGGGCGTCCTGGAAGCCAAGAGCTAAGGAACAAGAATTTGGAGTCATGCCACTTGCCCCTTGAGTGACCTTGAACAAGTTATTTGACCTCTCAGAGCCTCCTTAAATGTACCTGCAAAATGAAAGTAACAGCACTGTACTGCAGAGGTTATTAAGAGGATAGAAGGAGAGCCAGGCACGGTGGCATGCGGCTATAATCCCAGCACTCAGGAGGCTGAGGCAGGATTGCCTCAGCCTGAACTACATGATGAGACCTCCGTTTCAAAAAAACAAAAATCTGAAACAAAGAAAGATAGAGGGAGGAAAGGTGTGGGCTTTGCAGCCAGGTAGTCCTGGTTGGAAGCTTATTTTTACTCTGCTAGGACTTTGTGCCCCACTGCTTGTAGTTTAATACTATTTTATTTTGTTTTTTGTTTAAGTAGAGTCTCACTGCAGGCTGGGCTCAGACTTCCCATAGTGCTGGGATTACACCTGCACCAGCACAACGGGCTACAATGTAACTTGTTAACACTGAAATGTAGCTAACAGTAATAATAGTATTCTAAGTACTTCCCAGGTGAGACATGTTGCTATATGGTAAGAATGTATAAAAAGTTATAAAGTTCCCTGCGTAAACAGGTATTCAGTTAATGTTTATTGTTGTTTTTGGATTTGAGTGTGAGATTTTGCTTTAAAAGGCGTGGGTGTTCATAAAAGGCTTTAATATGTCTCATCCTGGCTACATTTGCCGTTCCTCAAGGGTAGTACTAAGAAAACGTGGTAGCAGGCTGGAGGGGGAGCTCAGTGGTAGAGCCTTGACTACCCCAGGCAAGTCCCTGAGTTTGGTCTTCAGAACTACAAAAGAAAAGATCATAGTGCCAAAATTTAACTAAGTATTAGGTTGTAAATGCCCAAAATATTCTTCACTCTTTTTTTCAAAGTGCTGTTTATTCTCTTTTATAGACAGTTATCTTTCTTTGGGTTGTTTTGTTTTTGTTTTTGGAGACAGGGTCTCGCTTGTAGCTCAGGCTGGCTTTGAACTCACTATGTAGCCCAGGCTGGCCTCAAACACTCAGCAATCTTCCATCCTCGGCCTCCCAGCCTCAGCCTGGGATTAAAGGTGTGCGTCACTATGCCCAGGGAGACAGTTGTTTTTCTGAACCAAGCATGATGGTACATGCTTCAATCCAGCACTTGAGAGGCTGAGGCAGGAGGATTGCCTAGGGTTCCAAGCCAGTTCAGGCTATATAGCAAGACCTTGCGGAGGGGGAGCAGTTATCGTTCTGAACTACGCTTCCTGTGGCATGGAATTGGAGGTTTTCCTGGAAGGTGGTGCTAAGCCTGGCAATGGGATGCAGGCTCAGGGGTAATCTACATGGCGTCTGGGTTAAAGGTAGAGGGGGACCCAAGGGTGTTGCTGTGAGCTGTCAGTGTGAAGGGGTTGGGTAGGAAGGAGAGGAGGCGAGCACAGGGCTGAGTGAACTGGAGGAAGCATCTGTGAGCTGTCGGGGTGTGCGGCCAGTTCTAGTGCCTTCTTGGAGGTCAGCACGTAACAGAGGTTAACCTTAAGCAGGTGTGCCTTTAATGACCCCTGAGCCACTTAG